CGAACGGTCGAGTGTTGATCTGCGGAACCAACGCTCAGAAACCGAAGTGCATTCATGCCGAGATGTCGAACTTGGAGAGTGGTTGGAGGAGAAGGAACGCGACGGACGGTCTGTACAAGTGTCCGTTTGCCGTCGACCAAAAAGTAACGTCAGTCTTCGCGGAGGGTAGCCTGTACGCCGGGACGGTCGCCGATTTCAACGGCAGGGATTCCACACTGACGAGGTCGATGGGCAACGCCGTTCCTCTCATAACCAAGAGGCACGATTCGTTGTGGCTGAATCACCCACAATTCGTCGGTTCGTTTGTAGAGGGAAGAGAAGTGTTTTTCTTCTTCCGAGAAGTTTCCGTAGAAAACTGCGAGAAGATTTACCGTTCTCGAATCGCCCGCGTTTGCACCGACGACAAGGGAGGCAGAACGATACTGGACTCCAGCTGGACGACTTTTCTGAAGGCACGACTCGACTGTTCGTTCCGAGGGGAATTTCCGTTCCGCTTTAACTACTTGCAGGACGTCTTGCGGACAGTCCGCGGAGGAAAGGTCTTCTACTACGCAGTTTTTACGACGGGAAAACACGAAATACCCGCCTCGGCCATCTGCCGTTTCGGCATCGACGACATAATGGACAACTTTGAAAGAGGTCCGTTCTTGCGACCGACGGCGCCTTGGGGACGCATCTTTGACGAGGACGTTCCGGACAACAGACCGGGCGATTGTTCGGTCGACTCGACTCTACTCTCGTACGAAGATCTAAACTTCGTGAAATCGCACCCGTCGCTGTACAAACCTTTTCTTTACGCTCGTTCGACAAAACTACAGGTTGAAGACGTTGGCCGTTACTGAGACCGGTAACCTTACGGTAGTTTTCGTCGGAACGGACGACGGTCAAGTCTTGAAATTGGTGCTGTCGGAAAATCGGGCCGTCCTTCTGTACGTCATGCGCGCGACGGAGCAACCGATCACGAACGCCGGGTTGCACGGGAACTTTTTGTACGTAACCTCTACCGATCGACTTTACGAAATCCCTCTTCAACGGCATTGCCGACTCCTGAACGATCGCACACTCAAACAAGATTCGCATTGCAGTTTGATGTCGACGCACGCCGGCGTCGAGTTGGAACCAAGACCGTTGGAGCACGTGCAGACAGTGGAAAAGACGAACGCGGGCGTAGAGTTGGAACCAAGACTGTCGGAGCACGTGCCGAACGCCGAAGTCGAGTTGCACCGAAGGCGTTCGGAGCACTTGCCGAACGTGCAGGCGAAGAACGCCTATCTGGACTCGCCGTCGACGGATCACATCAGTCTCGTCGTACTCGCGGCAATCGGGTGGACACTTTGTATAGTTGAAGCTATAGGCATTGTTTGGTTGATCTTTAAATTTACTTTGTTGGTACGGTAAAAAAAAAAGAAATTGTTCGTTTTTTACATATCTGTGTATTTTTATAATCCGTTTCTGTTAAAGTTAGGAACATGCCAACATGGGCAAATACATTGTTGAATTTAAAATTTAAATAAACGAAAATTGACACATAATTTGTTTGTTTTTCTTTTCTTTTATTTCGTCTAATCAACACTCAACTAGAATAATCAATAATGAACGTCCATGTGAACCGAATAACGTACATCGTACTTAATATCGAAACCTTCGACGCAGGGAAGTATACTAGAATATGAGCATTTGTTCATCAGCAGTACGACGGTCGGATTATCCACCTGCTGAACGTACGTTCTAAGTAACCTGGGCAATGCCTCGTGACGCACGTCGTTTGAGACGATCGTTCGCTTGCACAGCAACTTCAGGGAAGGCATTCGTAGGAATATGTGAAATAGCACTCCGAACCTTCGGTTGCAACCGCAATGCTTTTGTTTCCCTCACTTCCGTCGTTGTAATATTCGAAGGTACGATTCTTCAGTCGACCGAACGTTGGATTTTCGGTTATTATTCCTTCGTCCTTTATTATTCCTTCGCCTTCGATGACACCGTAAAATCGAACGTCCTGGCTGTTTCCTATCGTGAATCGATGAAATCCCTTCTCCAGAAAACCACGCATCAGGAAGTAACCTTCGGAAATCTCGTCCCACTCGTGCATCCTTTGGGCTACTTTCCTTTGCAATTTTTCTTTTCATCGACGTCTGCACCGGATGCATTCGACTGAACACTATATCTTATTCGTTGAAAATCTTCTATAATATATGCCACCGCTTCCACCTCTTTACGGACCATCTCCTTACACTCGTTTCATATATTAGCTGCGGTTTCTGAGAAATGTGTTTGTGTTCAAATAAAGTTTTTAAAAAATAACTTAATATCATCGCAACATGCGAACAGGCGCAAATGCATTTTTTATTTTAAAATTGAAATAAACGAAGATTGACACATAATTTGTTTG